CAAATCTCTTGTGTTTGTACAATTTACTGCTAATTAGATACTATTCCTACAGTTAAGAATGAAGCTAAAAAAAGACTGCTGGGTTTATATATTTACTTTTAAAAATGACAAATCACAGAGAGTTCCCACTGGATGAAGTTAATTTTGCAGAAATTTAGCAGGAAAATTCACATTCTGCCACAACATGAACAGTTGATAGTTCATGAGTTCCTTAGTAATAAAACATATATTGCTTGTGTAATGGTGTAGAATAACTAATTTTTCGACTTATGAAATCTAATATACCAAAATTCTGAGCTGACATCAGTGAAGCTGTGCTGGTTTATGTGATCTGAAAATGAGACATTGTGTCCCAAATATCGTTTAGATGTAAATTTTGGAATAATCAGTCTATATATATTTATGACTAATATGCATCTAAGAATCTGCATACTTTGGTCAGTGTTTGGTAGTAGGGATGCTTTGAGTGATCAGTATTTTATTAAATAGGGAAATTATATTCTGTGACCATTAATATATGTGCTTCTTGGCTGAATTTACTTTTCTTTCTATTAAAAATTGAAAGGCTATGACTTTTACTGTGAGTCTTTTCCACTCTATTCTTTATTGCAATCTCTCAGACACATATTTGAGGTAGGAATAATATTTTTAATGAGTAAATTCATAAAACCACATAATGGAATTCTTGCTTAACACAGGCAAAAATTGGAGATACAGTACATGGGCTCTAAGCCAGTCCACTACTTGAATATTTTTTATTCTAAGAAATTCAGCTTTAGCATGTGTGATTTTCCAAGCCTCAATGACAAGATGACAGACATTTGTAGTTTATAATTATTTGTGAACCATAGTAATTATACTTAGAAAGTGCAGTTATTAGAAAAGAATTAAAGAATAACAGTCCATCTGTATTACTACGACGCATGAACAAGATGTTCAAACAGAAGAGTTTCTGAGATTCTGTTTTAAATTTGGTGACCACACATATGTCTGTACTTGTGTATTATACTTTGATATGAGCTTTTTTCATGATTGTTTTTTTCCATTGCAGTTAAAGGGAAATAATAGCTCCCTTCAGTACTTCATAATTAATCTGATTTAACGGGATACCATTTCAAAAGTGTTCCAAAAGAGGAAAAAGGCGCGGTATTAACTCATCATAGGAGGATGCACTATATTGATTACAATACTATGTTTATCATGGATGATTCAGACTTACCTTCTAAAGCCAATAATAAGAGAAAGAAAAATAGTCAAATCATTGCTATACATTATGCGTATTGAAATAACATATATTTGCTTTGTATTGGTGCACTTTCACTAGCCCAGTGGAAGAAGAAAATGTGTAAAGCACTCTTAAGTGAGCTATTCAAAATGAAATTACATTGTTTCATACAGTTACAGTATAACTACAATAAATACCCTGTTAATTGTTATTAATATATTCATTAATATTATCTTTGCTGGTAGATATGAAATAATAGCAAACTTACTTGTAAACATGAAGTTTCAATGAAGACAACCACCAGTAAAACTACCTATTTGTAAGGGTTCAACACGTGTTGATGTAAGTTCATGTTAAGATTGTTGACATGATCAACATTGTGATAAAAGAAATTCCTGTAGGATAAGGTTGGGGCCAATTAAACTATAAATCTTCAGTGTGTTTCATACAGGGGGTTCACTACTTCTTCACAGAGGTGCTTTGGCTTCCTTGGTTCTCAGACTCAATTGATAGGATGTAGGAAAGTGATGGATCCCTGCCGGTGTAAATTGTTAGGACTCACATTTAGAGTTAAGTCCACCTAGGGCTGATGACTGCTGTAGGACAAGTACACTATCTAAAACTTCCATATAGAACTCTAAGTAATGCATTCATGCTATGTTAGCCTTTCATACAAAGCAATATTTAGTGTCTTTAAACGCAAAAAGCATATCATGGCTCGCCCACTTCCACAGAAGTAACCAACGATTGAAAAGTTTCTAACTCCATCTCCTTAGAATGAACAGAACTCACGATTATTTTCATCAGTTATTTTTGTGTTGACTTACAATGTCATGCTCATTGTCAATGAGCAGCTGATGAGACTGCTTGCATTGACTGCTTTGAAGCAATAGAATCTGATTAAAAGAAATCATTACTGCAGAGTTAAACATTATTACTTTCTCATTTTTGAAATAAGTGGTTTTGCAGACCTTACCTAAAACATTATTCAGAATGGCAGTAAATATAGAATTAATTTGAAGAGTGCAGTAGATATTGCCCAATATTTTCATCCATATTAATTTAAACTAAATTCTAAAGACTAACATCTTCCCTCCCCGCAAAGAAGAACAAGAGATTAAGTTCTTAAAATTATTGCTATATTTAGCAGCTCATAATATCATCAACATGCACATTTCTGTGATTTAGATTTAATACAAATATTTTAAAATATCAGATCTGAAAAACACTTTCCATTTTTATTACAGGTCTATTCAATAAAATATATACCTTTGGCATAATACGTTTTATTGCATATAGCAAATTATTTTCATTATCATCAAAAATATATTTTAGCACTTGTGAATTACAGGGGACTTTAATTCCTCAGATAACCCACAATATTGGATACAGTATCTCGATCCGGCTCATAAATAGACATGATAAACATGTACATTTTCTGTTGGAAATGGTAAATGAAAGATCTTTGAGAATTTAAAATTTACTAACGATTAAACTATTTATCTTTATGCTACTTTATTAGATGCATTATAAGACATTATTTTCATTGAAAATATGCTTTACATAAGGCAAGTTTTGTAAGAATTTAAGTAGTGTATTTTCTTATATGAAAAAATTCTTTTCTTATAAGGTGGTTATGCCTCCCTTGCTATTCTAAAGTCACTACACATAAAGCAATAAAATTACAGGGCTAAGCATCCCTCAAGGATGAAATCACAGCGAAGGAAGCTGTGATACACTTTATGCTGTTAATCGGGTTGTATCATATCACATCATATGATGATACCACAATAGAAGAGAGCTGGTTATTTACACAGTGGTTCTGACTGGCAAATGTAAACAAAGATGAGTCAAGCACCTCAGCAATGCATTGACTTTCTAGCTCATCTCCATGGTTTTACAATGCTGTCCATTAGTTCCATTGTCAATTTGACATGAGGCACCTGTTTTTAAGGTAAGAAACTGCTTAGCTGACAAAGTGTCAGTGGGGTTTTCAAGTAAATATGAATTTGTTCCCTTTTAGTTCATTATTAAGTTAAGGGTGCACTAATCTATGATTCAAGAGACATGAAATGCTGTTAGATTTGTATGCAGTTTAAGGAATTCTATGACAAGAGAGTTTCTAAGACATATAAGTTCAAGAAAATCTCCAGTACAGCAAGCAATTATTTAAATTAACCATTTAGGGGAAATCTGCATTTTAATATAGATTAACAGAAGTCTGATGGCTATTCAGAAATTCTTAGTCCAGTTCAAATTATTGGAATTGGCTCAAAGAAGCTCAAGTGTACTTGAACATCAGCGTAGGTATGAACACTTGAGCATTAAAAGGTGTAAGAGTTGGGGCATCTTTCCAGAACTAAATGCTCCTTCTTTTTAAGGTCAATTTGAAGGTGAATCCTACTGTTGTGAATTGCTTTTCTCCATCAGAGGACTTCATTATAAACAGAGATTCATTGTTGTAGGAGACAGCCTGTCTAGCTATTCTTCCTCACTTCACAGTATGCTTCCCTCACTGAAGAGGTTCCTGCTATCTGTGGAAAGTTCACGTAAGCAGGTCCTGTGCTGAGAGTCACGTGTTCCTCCTTATACCACGGTCATAAGTAGCATCTTCTCTTTTTTATTATTTAAAGGTGTCTAATTTTTCTAGGTTATTACACTATGTTCATCATTGTGGTAAACACCTACTTACTGTTTTGAAAAGCTTATCTGTGGCAGATTCAAAAATAGCCTATAGTCTCAGGTTATTCTCAGGAGATTGAGTTGAGAAAGTTGTTAAATGCTCATTCTGTAAATATTCCTCATTTCCCAGTGTTTCTTGAGGTTAATTTTCCTTTAACCAGACAAAACTCTAATCTTCACCCACTGTTCCTCTTAAATGCATTAATCTCACAGAGGTTGAGAACTGTACCATACACATGTGAGAAATAACAGTCCTTCCTCATTTATGTTTCTAGGAGGTGTTTCCCCAGAAACTTCTCTGGGACATTTCCTGATTTCATGAATTACTGTCTCTTCAGAAAGAATGGTGGTTTATATTTCTCTTCCCAACCCTCCTACACTTTTTTTCATGCCCAAATGGTTCGAGCTGATGAATCATGGCTCTTTCCTTTCCTTGTTGTTTATCCTTCTGCCCTTGTAGCTTTGAAGATAATCAGTCAGGTATATTTCTCATCCTAAAAGCTATTTTAAAATGATAATTCAACTGAGAGTGCCATTCCTAGGAGGGCTGGTCAGGTTTCATCTCCATAAACTGAATAATTATATCCATATTAGAAGCAAAGCAATATAGGTAGAAGTACTTATCAAAAATCCTAATGAATTTTCAATTACCTTGATTTCTCACTTCAAATTTCCTAATATATTTCATAAAGGTGTGATTTCATCTTTTAAAGGAAGTTCACAGAGATTTAGAATCAGCATGATAACCTGGCCAGAAGAAGCAGACAGAAAGTGGTAGGAATAGTTTTGTGATTTCTTTTATCAAGCCAGGATACTTCTGTTTTAATCACTTTCTAGTTGTTTATCTTGATTTAAGGAGAAAAAAAGAAAAAAAAAAGAATTATCCATGCATAATTTTGTAATTCCCTCAAGGATATCATTGTGTTGTTATATGAGAGATATATAATTTATAATAGGATCTGTATATGCAAGGAATTTAATCAAAGTGCTTTCAGTGTAGAAGAACTCTTTCATTATAATATTTAACAGTAGGTCTAATAAAACAGATACTTTATTTGGATGCTGTTGAGTGACATTAATAAGATTCCTATTTTCAGACAGAGTCCACCTTCACTTGATTGTTGTTTGTAATCAGCGGAGAGGGTTTACTTTTCATCCTGTCTCCCATGTCATTAGAACTATCTTGGAAAAAAACTTTTGCAGTACAAAAAGTGACAATAATTCTCTTGTATTCTCTTCTGAAGTTCTGGTTCAGGAGTCCATATATGATAGCATTAAGGCAGCTGTTGAAGTATGCCATGTAATAACTAGATACAAACAACCACTCTGGAATCCTAGGGATGATAGTTTTTGGGTTGACAGCCACAGCAAGGCCTATGAAGTTCAAAGGAGCCCAGCAGACTGCAAACAGTACAAATACCACAAACATGGTTACAAAGTTTCTGAAGTCATGTGGTTTCAGCCTGGGGTTGTTATCTGGTTTAACCCTTCGCCTTACCTGAATAACAAGGATCCATATTCTCAAATAACAGAAAGTAACTATGGCTATGGGAAGAAGGAAATGGAAAAACACAACAGCTATTGTATATGCGGAGCTCACCGACTGTGCAAATGTACATGAGTAAATCCTGGGGTCATACTGCAGTGATCCCACAAATAAGTTTGGCACAATAGCAACAAATGTTAGGACCCAGATAAGAACAACATAGCACAATGAATTCTTGTTGCTGTACAGCTTGTCATATTTGAGACTGTGGCAGATATAGCAGTACCTATTGATAGCGATGCCTGTAATATTGAAGATTGATCCAATGACACTTAGGCCCATCAAGAAGCCACTAATCTGGCAGTGAAGGTATCCCAGACTCCATCCGTTGTGAAATACAGATGTGAGGACCAGTGGATATGGGTAGATTGCTACAACCAAGTCTGCAACTGCCAGGCTTACAACAAACACATTTCCTGTAAAATAAATATAAAAAGGCAAGTATTAGATTTTCTTTTGCTCCTTTCTGTTGCTTCTGCTCTCAATATATTAATGAGCAGCCATACTGGAACACTTTAATTATAGATAGTTTCTACGTCATAGATCAAAATTCACTGTAATGTATCAGAAATAAGAAATTTTTAATCTAAAAAGGAAGTAGCTTAACTGAGAGATGAACCTTTAAAAAAACAACTGTCTTTGAGTTCAATTACCATGAACTAGCATTTTTATCATCTCATTTATTTAGATTCTTCCAATCACAGAGATTCAGAATTCATATAAAATTAAAATATTTTTAACTTTAAGCCTTGCTTCAATTTTAAATAGATAGTCTCTCTCGAAAAATCAGCAGATACAATATGAATACTAATAAATCTCAAGACTCATGTTCACGGAATCATAGAATGGTTTGGGTTGAGAGTGACCTTAAAGCCATGGGCAGGGACACCTTCCACCAGATCAGGTTGCTTAAAGCCCCATTCAACTTCTCTATTCAAGCTGTTCTGCTGTCTCACCAGCCTCACAGTAGAGAATGTCTTCCTATTACCTAATCTAAATTTACCTTCTTTCAGTCTGAAACCATTACCCCTTGTATTCCCCTTGTGCTGAAAGGCTGCTATTAGGTCTCCCTGGAACCTTATTACTAATCCCGAAGAAATACAAATTATGTTAAAGAAAAAGGCAAAAGTATCTGTGGACATAGGATCTGTGGAATAGAATATCTGTGGAATAGGATATTTTGGCTCTTATAATTCTCAAACCTATTTTTTAATCTCAGACATTTAAAATGCATGTTCTCTCACTAATCTTGTGCTTTAAATGACTAGATAGAAATATTAAATCTCCAATCACCTACAGAGGAAAGCATAGAAATTACCTGGTTCAGGATGCTGCTTTTCCTCTTTTGTTTAAATTTTGACACATGCACAAAACAGCACATTTAATATTTATACTAATGGCAGCTGGGACAAATGGCCTTATTTAAAAGATTGCTACACTAGTTTTCATAGATTTTGTATCTGGATTTATAAATAACTTTCTCTTGATAGTGTCTGTAGTTGTTTCTTCTTTTGCCTGGGAATTCACTGCCAGACTGAAATAGGCTTATCCTGAAGGCTTTGGCTGAGTTCCAGATCATTTCAACAAAAACAGCAGAGTTCCTTTAAGCAGAAGTGAAAATAACATTCCTTTCAGAACTTATCCTTGACATAGTGGCAAGAGATACAAGAATGGATAAAGAGACTATGTGAAACTCGGAATGTGTTTATCTTATGAATCAAAAAGTGGAAAGTGAATGAAAAGTTGCTGTTGGCAGCTTTTTCCCCCATCCAGAATATGGCAGATTTGGTGAAATGGCACCATATAAAAACCAGATGGGACAAAGAACCAGGATGCTTGTTTAAATGTAATGCTTAAAAGAATCTCATTTATATCTGTTTATAAATTTTCTGCTTAGGTGGAGACTACCCACCCCAAGCTTCTCTCTGTCACCCACTGAAATTTCTGCTAGTGCTCTCCATCTGTATTAATGCTGTCACTGCCTACCCACTTGAGACAAAGGATTCATCTGTAAGAACAAAGCCAGACGTGTGGGGGGGTTTCCCCGTTGTTGAAAGAAGACAGGTGATATACTTTTCACTGATTAGTTTTAGCAAGCCTCTGTTTTGGAAACAACTAAGTCTAGGAAGAGTAGGTGCTTTGTCTCTGAATCAGCCAGATTCCAGGTTTCCATAAACTGGTGCACCATGGTTGTCCAGGCCTATCTTCTCAGCTGATTGCTGTAGAGTGACAAAATGAAATACAAGCTGCTTCATATTGAAGTTGGAGGCCAGGAGGATATCTTGGGAGCTTGTCTTTTTAAAAATGTCATGAGCTTAGAAACCAAGTCCCAGGCTGCCAGCTCATGGTTAGCATGTCAGATGGAGGACCAAAGCATTGGGCTACAAATTGCTTGGAAACCAAATACCTGCTCTCAGAGAGGATGTTTAACCTGCCTTTCAGGAAAGGTAATCTTCAAACTTTAGTTCAGATACATTTTCCTTGTGAGCACAGAAACTTTGTCTTTAAGATAGAATATAAATTCAAGCACAAAATTATTGGGGATTAGTATGTTTGTGGTATATTTTAAGGTTCATTGTTTCAGACTCTGAAGTCAGATCTGAAATCATGTTGAGCTTTCATATGTTATACACAATATAATATATATGTATAACATATGTAAAATTTAAAAATGTGATCCTAGTTTTAGGTATATACCACTAGTGGAAAATAATGATATTTTATGAAATTCCCATGCATTTAATTGCACATTGTGAAAATAAACTATGTTTGTGGAACACTTGGTATTATAGACATGAGTAGCATAGGAACAATTTTTTTTATTTTCAGAGTTGGTTTTGAACAGAATGCTATAAATGAAGCATAAAGCTCCATATTGAACCCTATAAAAAAAGCCACAAAATCAAAATCTTGCATTACTCTTCCTTGAATAAAGAGTATTCACTCTTTTCAGAGAGTGAGATCGCATTGCTGTGAATCTATGAAATATTTTAACTCTTCCAAAACCTTTAGCCTGGGCAAAAAAATATATTGTAAAAAAAGGAAACAGCTTGTCTATGGAACAAAATACCAATGTTTTAAAACATTAAAGACTCCAGCTAGAACTTTTTTTTTGTACCAAGGAAATCTGGATGAATTTTAGAGATCTAAACTTGCTGGCATCATTGGTAAGACTACTATTTCTCCTTTTTCTCCAAGATATTTCTGTACCTTTTAATATCTGTTGTTAGGTCACTATTTCTGTTCACCTATTTCAGATTTTTATCTGTATAAATAACATATTGTCTTCTTACAACAAATGCTTTCGAGACATCATCATGTTTTCAGGTGGCACCAAACTTAGCTAAGAGGCTAACTGAAGATACTTTTGCTTTTAGGTAAGACTAAACAGTACACACAGATATCACTGAAGTCATGTAAAAATCTTCTGGTTCAGTGGCCATCAACTCAGACTGCCAGTGTTTACTTGTAAGGTGTAACTTTAAATAGGGAGGATAATGTACACGTTTGCAATGTTAGATCAGTCAAAAGATCAAACTTAATTTCCAGCTACTAGATTCATGCTATTCTTATCTGCTGTCTTTTTATTACCTGTCAGATATTGCCAGTTACGTTATCAGTAATTTCAAATTGTTTCATAACTAGGTTTAATTAACAAGATACTTTGCTATAAGTGTAGACTAGGTTTTCTAGAAGCTGTGACCTATTCAAATATCACAATTGCCAAGATCGTTATGTACACAGTATTTATATATTTAACAGCACCAAAGTTTTTGTTTACATTTTAAAGCACTGATTTCTGGTCACTCTAATACTTCTACTGATTTTCTTCAAGGATAGCTTATGATTTTTTTCTGGCATTTTGAAATATTTTTTATTAATCCACCTCTTCCTCAGAATCTTAATCTCGGATTTTATACTGCTAGCTGAAAACAAGATTAAGATCAGGTGCACATCACTGAATGCCTGCAGCAGTAGAAAATTTAAGTGTGGTACCTCATAGTTACAACTGAACACAGCATCATGCTGACACATTTACATTAGCATTGATACACAGTGGGCAAAGCACCTGGTTTAGAAAACCGGTAACTCCCCTTCGCAGCTGAAGGAGTGATTAAGTCTCCAATTCTAGAATATAAAACGTCATATGAAATAATACAATGGGCTAGTTTATGAAGAAAACAAAATTAGAAGGCTAAGCATAACGTTCAATATGATATGCTTCATTTTGCCACTAAGAGCTAAACTTCTTTCTCAGGAAGGCATTTTATCAGGCCTCTGCTTCTCTCATTGTTGTTTCCTTGCACAATAGATTTGTTTCGTATTCCTTGAACGTTTTTGCACTGAATGTTGTTCCATTAGCACCAGTATTTCACTTGTAAAACATCACAAACAACTATAAAATCAAGGAGCAAAAGCCATTTTTGTGAGTGCCTAATGCAAATTTAATAAAATATCCTTGTTCATGTACCTGGAGAGAGACTTAGCTCTACAGGCTCAGTATCCCTTCTCCCTGGAACCTTAACCAGTCATAACGTTTGAAGAAAAAGAACATCTGTGCATAAGCTTCCTAGGACCAATTTAATATTGGAAAGTTGCTGCACCTAGCAGCACAGTTTGGGATTCCACAAAGGTCACATGCAATAAAAAATATTAAATGAAAATACTTGTAAGTGGGATCAATGACCACTCTTTCTTAGGTAAAATCTCAAAGCCAAGTAAGGTCACCTAGACATGCAAGCACACAGACAGTTCCAGCTTCACTGAACAAAGATTTGAAAGGTTTAAGAAACTAGCAGTCCTTGCAGCTCAGCATCAAAACGGCACAAAACAGCTGAGTAAAAATGTAGGAATAAATATTACATAAGCTGCGGTTACTCCTGGGAGCTTCATTCACTTTACAGATCATAATATCAACTCCCCTAGATCTGAAAAGCCTATTTTTAAACTAAAGGCACTATTTATAAACCTGGCCTGAATCAGGAAGTCCACGTGCACATTAAATTTGAACAGCGTGATGGGCCTTTGGGCTTTGCTTCTCGTTAGCAAATTAACCCTGATGCTGCAGGTGGTGGTGCAGGGAAATTTGAATGGCTTAATGCCCACAATGAACCTTTTAGCTTTAACTACATGTAAGAAAATCTTTTTCTTTCCTTTTAAGCTGAAAAAAGACTTTCTTAAGATTTTCTTAAACCCTCATTCAAATGTACACCGCTCACATAATAGAAGGGACTTTCAGACTCTCTTATCCCCTAGTTGTGACACTAATGAAACCAGCTGTGTAATTACAGACGTGGCAATTGCCTACAGCTGTAATGATGTCAGGCAGGTAGCTTGAAGAGAGAGTATCAAATATTTACAGTTTGAACTCATTTATAGCCTTACAAAGGCAAAGATTCTAAGTGCCATAGACAAGTTCAAATACTGCAATAATCCAAGTAACCTTAGCTTTTAACTGCAGTTGATAGAAATTCAGGGTGCTAAATCTTACAGGTTTGGACAGCTAGAGAACTACATAACACTAAATTTGAAATGTATGGAAGAACAGATTTGTTAAATATCATGTTATCAGAATAATCCATATTGTAATACTTTATTCCAGTGTGGTGCAAGGTAAAAAAAAATGACTTAATCAGCACAGCATAAATGAAAGATCATACTGATATATTCTGAAAAGAAAATACTACCATCTATTTAGATTATAATAATTATCATACAGAAACTTTCATTGCAGCTGCAGCAGCAATTTAATTTGAAATGCCTATGCCATCTTCTGGCCAAGAAAATTAGATGCATGAAAGAGTAATTGGCAGAAAATGGCAATGAGGAATTATATAATACTCAGGGTAAAGGGATGGAGGATTTTGGTGTCATGCCCAAGTTGACCGTAGCCAAACAGGATGTATATGGGATTAAGTAGTTTTGCAGATATGCCAAATGGCATAGATTTTTGTGACTTTATCACCTACCACTTTTTTCTGCATTCCCATGGCACACATGAGTGAGACAGCTACTGCTCGCCTTAGAGTCTAAAAATATTTGTCAGCGCTATTCTTGGTGGTTCAGTCATGAGAGAAAAGTGATGTGAGTTTTACTGTCAGGCAGAGAAAGGAATTGAATCCGTATGCTGGATGAGTGCTACAGACTTGGGGATGTACCTTGCCTCTGGCAGTTGTGTATGACATGTCAGGGCTGCTTTGAAAATCTCTCTTGTATGGGACCTCTCACATGATAGGTGTACTTAAGTTTGTACAGGGCAGTAGATTTAGTAGGTGCATGAGATATTTAATATCTCAGTAGAGGCAAGACTGAGGTATTTCTCAGTATGCCAACAAGGGTAGTGCTATCCACTAGATGAATCCATGTGACATGAAATATAAAGCATCTGAGAAAAGCAGCAGTAAAGAAAAGGCCTACACTATCAGTGCACATTTACGCACCTAATGTAGGGGTAGACAGGAGCCGACTGAAGATCTTTTATGGACCTAAACTTAAAAATCTAGGGGTGATCAGGGTCTGAGTCTTTTTAAAGGTTTTTTAAGAAGTGTGATTTTAAAAAGGACTTTAAATAATAGTAGTTGGAGCTAACAGTGAACCTCAAGAGACACTCATCTTTCTGTTACATTATGCAGTGCCATGAAATATTTTGCTTTACATAGTAGGTTTATGTCAAAAATATTTTGCTTTAGAAACAGCAGCAAACTGAATGACACTTTCATTCTTTTATGGAAAAGTCTAAAATTTTATCAGAATAATATCTAGCTAATACATATGTACTTTGGTAACAAGACTGTATGAAACTGGCACCATCATACAGTTTTGTAGTTTTACAATATAGAAATAATAGATGAAAGTTAACTCTTGTTAAATAAGTAGTTATGAAATAGAACAATTCAATTTTTTAAACAATTAATTGACAAATCTCCAGTAGATATGAATAAACAGTTTAATTGCTGTTTGACAGAATTTTGAAGTGCCATATGTATATTTCCTGGTACTCAGAATGAATATTGCTGTAGTTATGTGTTCCATTTGGTGTGTAAATACATGTTTTTTCAGTTTTGTGAGTGCTTTTCACCAAAACGCGAAATCATGACAAGTATTCCAGTCTGATGTAATTTAGATTAAATTATTCTTAACTTAGGTTTTGTTTGTCCACCCAGCCAAGGGTAAACTAAGACATAACATAAAATTTCAAGAAGGCTTGTAATGACACTGAAGTGAATCAACAAACCGTGCTTTCTTGCAGGTGGAAGTTAGAAACCAGGGCAGGCAGACATGGTGGATGTCTCAAGTTCTGCCACCCTGGTTTGGCTCTGGTATCTGCCCGGTCTGTTCATTCTACAGTTCACTGGGCTGGTGTGTTTTCAAGGTCAGGACATCTATTCCCTTTGAACATCAGCCCCTTGTACCGTGTTGACAGTATTTCAGAGATGAAATAGATTTGCCTGAACAACTTATCCACTTTTACAGAAGGGAATTATACTGCCACTTCTGATTTGATCTTTTCTGTCTCTAATTTCTATGATTCATTTGGAGCAAAAAAAGTCCTGTGGTACAGCCTGTTTTCCAGCAAGGTATTACCTAGATGTTACAGAACACTAAGGTTGTCATCACAGTTCAGCAATCTGTATGAAACCGATTAGAATAACAATACTGCTGATGTCAGAGGATCACGCTACTGAACTGCATCGTAGCGGAATAAGCGCAAGAGTATTTTTTCCCTCTTCAACTGTATTTGCATTAGAGTCTGGAAATAAATGGAAGGACAAAAATGGTACTATCACAGTAATATCACAGCTCAGATAAATAAAACTAATACAGTGCAGAGGCTAAAATAAATGGAAGGGGAGATGGGAAAAGGCAAAGAGGGATGCTTGCGAAATGTAATTATGTTTTTGTGTTTGCAAAATCTCACAGATTAGTCAGGATCAGGGCCAGAAAATGGGAAGATACTGCCATTCTCTTCCAAATTCTAGTATGTATTTTAAGAAAACAAGCAGGAGAAAATAGGAGAGTGAAGGTGCAACCAGGTAACTGACAACAGACTTCTGCACTGTATATAATAATTGCAAAGATTAAATCAATTTCCAGAATCTCTTTGAAAGTCATAGTTTTATGTAGGAGGTTTTTGTGGCTGAATTTGCCCATAGAATTATCCACAGAAAGAAAAAGAAGTTAAAAAAACTCTCAAGAGTACAAAATAATCCATTTTCTTTCTCTTATGACTAATAACAATACAGGTGGTCATTCAGCAAATCCCACATTTAACTGCAGAGTCCACAATAGATAGCAAAGCTAATGAAATTAGTTCTTTAAATAGTCTTCCTATTTCTTTCTCCTAAAATCAGCAATAGTAGGATATCTGCCAGGAAACTGGAAAAATATCACTATGGAAAATATCACTACAGAAAATAAACACATGTATTTACTCTCCCTTACTCTATCCAGTCTCTGTTTTTCTATTGCTTTTCTTCCTTTATTTATTCCATCACCACGTCTTTTTTTCACCCTTACTGATGGAAGCTTTTTCCCTTCCTCCTTTCCTGTCTTTGTTTGTCCCAAGGTCCTCAAAAAGGTGATGATTTTTACGTGGCATTCCATTCTGTCATTATCAATGACCCATCCGCATCCAGTTCTTCCTGCCTCCCTTTCATTTCTTCATTTGCTCAACTGTGCAACAGCAAAAAATCAGAACTTGGATGGTCCCAGACCACAGTGGGGCAAGTTAAATGGTTAAATTATTTCCCTGATTATCATGGGAATTCACTAGAAAAAGTGCTACTTTAATTGCAATATTAGTGGGTTTTGTTGAAGAAAGTAACTGATGGTATCAAGAGCTCTTGCTCCGCTACAGCATCAGAAATGCATTTAGCACAAGAAACTGAAAGAAAGACAAAGAAGTGGAACTGGTATATGCATGGCAAAAAAGGCCAGGATCGTAGAATCATAGAATGGTTTGGGTTGGAGGGGACCTAAAAGATCATCTAGTTCCAACCTCCCCTGCCATGGGCAGGGGCACTTCCTGCTAGATCAGGTTGCTCAGAGCCCCATCCAGCCTGGTCTTGAACACTGCCAGGGAGGGGACATCCACAGCTTCTCTGGGCAACCTCTTCCACTGTCTGACCAGCCTCACCGTAAAGATTTTTTTCCTAATATCTAATCTAAATCTGCCCTCTTTCAGTCTGAAAGTGTTACTCATTGTCGTATCAATACATTCCCTGATAAAGGGTCCCTCCCTATCTTTCTTGTAGGTCTGAACCTGCTCGAGCAAGTCCATGTCTTTCTTATACTGGGGGCTCCAGATCTGAAGGCAGTACTCCAGGTGGGGTCTCATGAAAGCAGAGTAGAGCAGGAGAACCACCTCGCTTGACCTGCTGGCAACACTTCTCTTGATGCAGCCCAGAATGCAGCTTTTCTGGGCTGCAAGTACACATTGTGGCTCACATTCAGCTTTTCATTCAGCAACATGCCCAGGTCCTCTGCACGGCTGATCTTAATTCACTCATCGCCCAGCGTGTGTTTGGGATTGCCCCAAATCAGGTGCAGGACCTTGCACTTGGCCTTGTTGAACTTCAGGAGGTTTGCATAGGCCCACCTCTGAAGCCTGTTGAGGTCCCTTCCCTCTAGCACGTCAACTGCACGATACAGCTTGATGCAATCAGCAAACTTGCAGAGAGTGCACTCGATCGCATTGTCCATGTCACCAACAAAGATGTTGAACAGCACTGGTCTCAATACCTGCCCCTGAGAAGCACCACTTTTCAGTGGTCTCCATTGAGACATTGAGTGCATCCATCCAGCCAGTTTCTTATCCACTAACTTGTCCATTCACTAATAAATATATACTGGGATGCACTAAGAGGAGTGTGGCCAGCAGATCAAGAAGGTGATTCTCCCCCTTGATCTGCTCTTGTGAGACCCCACCTTAAATACTGTGTCCAGTTCTGGTGTCCTCACCATAAGAGGGACATAGATCTGTTGGACCAAATTCAGAGGAGGGCCACAAAGATGGTCCAGGGGCTGGAGCATCTCTGCTATGAGGTCAGGCTAAGGGAACTGGGGTTGTTCAGACTTGAAAAGAGAAGACTTCGGAGGACCTTATAACTGCCTTCTAATACCTGAAGGGAACCTACAGGAAGGCTGGGGAGATAATTTTTGCAGTGTCCAGAGACAGGACAAGGGGAAATGGATTTAAGTTAAAGGAAAATAGATTTAGATTGGATCTTTGGAAAAAATTCTTCAGTACGAAGGTGACAAGACTCTGGAATAAATTGTTCAGAGAAGTTGTGGATGCCCCCTCCCTTGACGTGTTCAAGGCCAAGCTGGATGAGCCTTGACCTGGTCTAGTTGAGAGGTGTCTCTGCCCATGGCAGGGAGGTTGGATTAGATGATCTAATGTTCCGTCCAATCTAGGCCATTCTATGATTCTATGAAATATAGCATTTAGAACAAGAATTACAAACTGGCCTCAGCTTTTCATAGTACAAAACGTTTGGAATGTCCTCCATTTAGGCATCATTACCTATAGGTCATCTGATAGTTATTGCTTGTGACAGAATATGGGAACAGCACTCTTTGCTTGGGTATACTGTTACACTTGTAGTTAATGAATGTATCTCCACTTAAATCTTAACTGAATAATCTCTTTAGTGCCATAAGTCTGAATGATAAAACTTCCACATGTGATGGCTACAGTTTGACTGAGCTCTGAAAGTTACAATTAGGAGAGGAATTAATTTATTGTTTGTTGCTTATTTTATTTCTTGCATGATGGGATTTTTCACACAGCACAGAATAAAATTTCCAAGCAATAACTTTTTGAAACAAACTAGTAAGAGAAACAGTCAAGTGATCGCCTTTTGACATCACAGAAGACTTCAGGTATTTCCACAACGTACCCTGATAAGCTCATGTAAGAGAATTCAATCTCTTGAAGGATTTTCCTTTTCTTTAGTTAAAGTACTGACATATAACTGAAACTTTTCAATACCCTCTTGGTTAGTTAAGTAGCAAATATGTGACTTTCATATTTAATGCCTATTAGAAACTAAATGGGGTTTGGATTTTTGCCTTTTATCTTAACAGTACTAAAGGAAGTCCTTTTTACTGAGAGCTCACTTATATGGAGACATGTAATTTAGCATGCTGATGAATTTGCCAAACCATTGCATCCTTAGAAGCAGGCTTTTGACTAGAAGCAATTGGCTGAAATAATGATTTAGGCAACTCCACTGAATGCAGACAAGTTGAAGTAGTGTAAGTGAGCAAATAAATGGCTCTGTGTATTGAGTATATCTCATAATTTTATTACTGAATTGTTATTCCGCTCCACTTATTTTAGTAACCTGCCTGTTCTCTGGGATTTTCTTTTATGAGAATTGATGTGGAATTTTTCACAAAGCATTTATTTTTCTATTGTTTAAGTCTACACTGTCTATTTATCAAAAAAATATAGTCAAAGGACAACGAGGCTACGGCACCAGCTACTAGGAAAGAAATATAGTATATATAGTATATATATAGTATAGTATATAGTATATAGTATATAGTAT